ATAGGTTGTCCGAGTTTGCACTTAGGAAGGAAGAGGATGCAGTTCTTGATTTCAACAACGATGATATTGCTGAGGGCTTGATGGAGTGCGAATTGAGTATGTACGGGAAGGTTCTATCCGAGAAATTTGTCAACTCTATAGCTCTTAGAAATACAATGGCTGGGGTATGGGGCTGTAAAGATCTACGTATAGCAAGGATTTCTCATAATATCTTTCATTTCTTCTTCAAGGAGGAGAAGGAGGTTTGGAGAGTTTTGAACCAAGGTCCTTGGTGTTTTGATAGCTGCCTTTTGATAGTTTCTAAATGGTCCAGAGGTGTGGATGTTAAGTCAATTCCTTTTGATTTGGCATCTTTTTGGGTTCAGGTGGTGGTGGGTCTCCCGTGTGAACTCAATACAAAGGAATTGGCTATTAAGGTGGCTGGGAGTTTCAAGGAATGGGAGGTCGTGGAAATTCGGGAGGAGGTGGGTAATGGTAGGAGGTTTTTGCGGTTAAGGGTGACTCTTTACATAGCTCTTCTGTTGCGACGTGGGGTAAAGCTTTGGGATAGTAAAGGGGAGATTTGTTTTGGCTTATTTCAATTTGAGAGCTTACCTTTGCTGTGTTATTGTTGTGGAGGGCTGGGGCATACTGAGAAGCAATGCTCAGTACCAAAAACAGAGGTTGTCGATGAGGGGAGGGGGAAAATTCAGTATGGCCCATGGCTACATGCTTCAATATCTAAATCTAAGTTAACCTTCAGACTCCGGGATGATTCCGAATTGCCGGAGAACAGTCCGGTGACTCCTACTTCGGTGCCTGGTTCTGAGCGCTATCTTGGGCATCCATCAGGGATTCTGGGTCCCGAGCAAATCCCAGAAATTGTGGAGAACAATTATAGGGAGTCGGGATTATATTCGGCTAAATATAAGGAAACGCTTTTGGAGGAGGAGATTTCTCCACAGATTCCTAATCAGTTCTTGAGTACAAGGTTGATTGAGGACAAGCAAGTAAAGGGAAACAATAATGGGCAGGAGGGCCCAAACAATAATCATGAGCTACCTGTAGGAAGATTGCCAAAGGTGGTGGGCCAAACTATGGACCTCCAAGCGTTTGCTCAACTGGGACCATCCATACCAGTTAAGGAGTTGGGGCTTTCTCCTATGTTATCAACGGACATCTTATCCACGGGTGATCCTATCCTCTCTGGTGAGGTATCTTTCTTGACAAAGCAGATCTCAGTTGCAGTTAAGGAGGTATCGTCAATCAACAAAGGAAAAGGGAAGTTGAATCGTATAACCAGAGGTCCTGTTCCTGAAGCTAACTGGAGTATACTAGAGGTAAAGGTGGGGAGTAAGAGGTGAGGTGAGTCATTCAAGTCTATTTCGGACGTAGAAGATGGGAGTGTGTCTCATAAAAAGGTACATGTCTCAGGATCCTTATCACAAAATTCATTNTAAGAGGTGAGGTGAGTCATTCAAGTCTATTTCGGACGTAGAAGATGGGAGTGTGTCTCATAAAAAGGTACATGTCTCAGGATCCTTATCACATGATATCGGCGGAGACGTTGATCAGTCCCGCCGAGAGATGTGATAGGTGTTTGTTGGAACTATCGAGGGATTGAGAACCCTTGTATAGTTCGTGCGCTTCATGATTTAGTGAAGCAGAAAGAGCCCAGCATGGTTTTCTTGATGGAGACTAAGTTATTTTCTGATGAGTTTGATCAAATAAAATTCCAAATTGGTTTGACGCAAGGCTTAGTGGTGGACTCTAGAGGTAGAGGTGGAGGGCTTGCTTTGCTGTGGAAAAGGGGGGTCAAAGTTGGTGTGAAGAGTTATTCAGATTTTCATATAGAAGCGGTTGTTGATGAAGGATTACCTTCTCAGTGGCGCTTTGTTGGTTTCTATGGCCATTCTAATGCTAACCAGAGGAAGAAATCGTGGAATCTGCTAAGACTAATCTCTCGAAGGTCTGACCTTCCGTGGGTGTGTGTTGGGGGGGGGGGGGGGGGGGTGTGTGAAGGAAAGGCCCCCAGCGGGGGGGGGGGGGGGGGGGGGGGGGGGGGGGGGGGGGGGGATTTTAATGAAATAGTCTCCAATGAAGAGAAGTCGGGTGGTTTGGATCGTCCTAATTGGCAAATTAGGGACTTTCGTGAAGTGGTTGATGAGTCCTACTTGCAAGACCTGGGTTTCAAGGGTTGCCCTTTCACTTGGTGGAATGGAGGTGCTGACACTCATGCTATTGGGGCAAGATTGGATCGTATTTGGGCATCATCATCTTGGGTGTCATTGTTTCCCAGCAGTAGTGTTGAACATGTGCCTACGATGGATTCGGATCACTGTCAAGTGGTATTCAACACGCTTGATTCTCAACTACTTGGAGAGGGGCCGAGGAAGAAACGGAGGTTTCGTTTTGAGGCTATGTGGCTCACCGATCCCTCTTGCTCGGAAGTTATTCAACAGAGTTGGTAGGGATTTAGAACAGGGTCAGCTGTTCAGCATTTCATAAATAATGTGAGGAATTGTAGAGCAGAGTTGTTGAAATGGAAATTCAATAAGTTCGGGAATATAACTAGAACGCTACAAGCTAAGAAGAAGAGGCTGTCGCATTTGCAAGTTGGTGCCATTACAGAGGAAATAAGGTCAGTGCTTAAGGATATACAAACGCAGATCAATAAGTTATTAGAAGCAGAAGAGACAATGTGGAAACAATGATCGAAGGCTCTGTGGTTGACTGAAGGTGATAGAAATACCGAGTTTTTTCATGCACAGGCTACTCTGAGAAGGCAAAGGAATATGGTACAAGGTCTTTTTACCAAGGATGGTGTTTGGGTGACGGATATCAGGCAGATCGAACAAGTTGTTGTTGAATATTTTACTGACCTGTTTAAGACGTCGTCTCCTTCGGCTCAATTAATGGATCAGGTCACTAGCTGTGTGGAGCCGAAAGTGTCGTCAGAAATGAACAATGGAATATTAGCAGATTTTTCACCGAAGGAAGTTGCTGATGCTTTGAAACAATTCCACCCAAATAAATCTCTAGGTCCGGATGGCATGAGTCCAATCTTCTTTCAGAAATTTTGGCCCGTTGTGGGGAGCGATGTGGTGAGGGTTGTCTTAGATTTCCTAAACTCAGGTGGGTCTTGCAGCAGGCTAAATTATACACATATTGTTCTGGTGCCCAAAACCCAGTGAATATGACTCAGTTCCGTCCTATTAGTTTGTGCAATGTGGTGTACAAATTAATAGCTAAAGTCTTAGCTAACAGGTTAAAGAAGATTCTCCTGAAGATTGTATCGGAATTTCAAAGCGCTTTCGTACCAGGTCGCTTGATTACAGATAATATTCTGATTGCTTATGAGCTTAGTCATTCTCTAAAGCGGAGAAGGAAGGGGGGTCAGGCCTATATGTCTCTTAAATTAGATATGAGTAAGGTATACAACAGAATAGAGTGGTGCTTGTTGGAGGCTATTATGCGGAGGTTGGGGAGATGGATTCAGAGAGTTACGCGTTGTGAATCCACAGTTTCTTATTCAATTGTACTGAATGGGGAACAATTGGGTTTCATTAGACCTCAACGAGGGTTGAGGCAGGGAGATCCGCTATCTCCGTATCTGTTTCTCCTATGTTCTGAAGGATTCTCGGCTCTTTTAAAATCTGGAGAAGCGTTGGGAAGGGTCCGAGGCTTATCTGCAGGTAGAATGGGCCCTACTTTTTCTCATTTATGTTTCGTGGATGACAGCCTCCTTTTTGCTAGAGCTACTAAAGGTAACTGTGAAGCAGTTTTGGAGTGCCTCCATAAATATGAGGAGGCTTCAGGACAGGTTATTAATTTTGCTAAGTTTGCAGTTGTTTTTAGTAAGAATACTGGGCCAGCAGTGTTGGAGGAAATCAGGGATATGCTACATGTTACGGTCGTAGAGAGTCATGATAAATACTTGGGTCCTCCTTCTGTAATTGGAAAATCAAAACGCGCCATATTCAGTTCTATTCGGGAAAGGGTCTGGTGCTGTGTCCAAGGTTGGCAGGAGAAGCTACTTTCACAAGCAGGCAGGGAAGTACTAATTAAGGTTGTTGCACAAGTGGTTCCAACTTATGCAATGTCATGCTTTAAGCTTCCATCAACTTTAAATGGGGAGTTGCATAGCTTAATGGCTAAGTTATGGTAGGGAGGCAGTGGCTCAGGTAATAAAATTCACTGGATGGCCTGGGAGAAATTGTGTAGACCGATGTCTAGAGGTGGGATGGGCTTTCGGAATTTAGAAGCATTCAATCTGGCTCTTCTAGCAAAGCAAGTATGGAGAATACTCCAACATCCTTCTTTGTTAGTGAGCCAGGTGTTAAAGGCAAAATATTTTCCAAATTCTTCAATAATGGAGGCTCAATTGGGATACAACCCATCATTTACATGGCGTAGTATGTTGTCAGCTAGAAGGGTTGTGGAGGGGGGTTTACGTTCGCGAATTGGCGATGGAAATTCGGTCTACATTAAAATGGATAGATGGGTTCCAAGAGCAACTACATTCAAGGTTATTAGTCCTTTCCCGGGGATTGCAAATGACACCCGGGTGAGTTGGTTGATTGATCAGCATTCAAAGACTTGGAATATGAATCGTTTAAGAGAGCTTTTCCTGGACTTTGAGGCTGAGGTAATTTTGTCCATCCCTTTTTGTCCGAATCTTCCTAATGATAGATTGGTTTGGCATTATACAAAGTCAGGGAAGTATTCGGTCAAGAGTGCCTATCATTTAATTTTGGATCAAGGAATGGATGGTGGTTCAAGTAGCGACAATGGTAGGTGGTGCGGTGCGTTCATGTGGAACTTAAACATCCCCAATAAAATTAAGGTGTTTGCTTGGAAGGCTATCCAGGAAATCTTACCAACTCAATGTAATCTGTCTAGGAGGAGAATTCCAGTTGATAATTGTTGTTATTTCTGTGGTGCTTCCCAGGAGTCAACTACTCATATTTTTGTGCAGTGCCATTTACAAAGCAGGTGTGGAGTATTTCATCGTTGAAGCTGCCCTAGGTTCCTTCAACTACTTTTCAGCAATGGTTTGCAACAGTCTCAGAAAATTTATCCACAAAAGATGTCTGTTTGGTGGTGGTTATCTGCTGGTCCATCTGGTATGATACGAATATGTGAGGTTAAAACAGGATGTCCAATGCCCTTATCAGATTGCGGACTTCGCTAGTTCTTATTTGAATCAATTTCTAGAGGCCCAGGACCGAAGAAATCGAACAGATTTTCTACCAACGTCGGGTGAGTTTTCTCGTTGGTCATCTCCTCCAATGGGTGCCGTAAAGATTAACTTTGATGGGGCGATATTTAGCTCGATCAAAGCTGTGGGAATAGGAGTGGTGATTAGAGACTGGAGGGGGCGATTCTGTGCTGGTCTGAGCAGATTAATTAGGAGGCCATTGAGTGTTGAAAGTGTGGAGACTTTGGCTGCCTGCTGTGCGTTGGACCTGGGCAGACAGCTGGGATATTCAAGTATTGTCCTAGAAGGTGATGCTTTGTCTGTGGTGGAGGCTATTGGCAAAAAAGAACCTAATTTATCAGAAGCTGGTCATCTCATAGAGCTGATTCAATCTTCAACAGAACTGCTAATGGATTTCTCTTCTTCTTGGGTATGGAGATCTGCTAATGGTGTCGCTGATGCTTTGGCTCATTATGCTTGTCAATGTACTGACTCTGCTTTATGGAGAGGGGTTTGTCCATATTTCATTGGGCCTCTCATCCTTAGAGAATCCTCAAGTTAAGTTTAATAAAGGTGTTGCCGTTTTTTATCAAAAAAAAAAAGTGTTCACAATTCCCACTACCCCGACCAACACCACCCACCCTCGTTGCTGCCACCATCGTCGCCACCCACTACCACCACCACCATCACTGTTGCCACTACCACCACCCACCCACCACACACCACCGCCACTCCCTGCCACCCACTGCCTAACACCCCCCTANAGACCCCCCCCCCCCCCCCCCCCCCCCCGCCACTCCCTGCCACCCACTGCCTAACACCCCCCTACCACCATCGCTACTACCCATTGCAGCCCACAACAACAACCCACCACCATCACCCCACCATTGCTACTGTCACCACAACGCACCCCCACCCACCGCCACCCTCACCCACCAAACAAAGCCCACCATAACCACCACCACCTCCAAAAATAGTGAAAACTAGTGAACTAAAAAATATTAAAAATATATATAAACAGTGAACTACAAAATATTAAAAATTTGAATTGAGAAATATATATTAAAAATAGTGAACTCCAAAAATAGTTAACTTTAATAGAATGACATGTCAAATTCACAAAATTTTCACAAAAACATTAATGAAATGTAACTCTTAGTACACTATGAACTCAAATACAGTAAACTAAAATAGTGAACTAAACACAGGAAATGACCACCATCGCCGCCAACCACCGCCTATTTTAAAAAATAAAAAATCTACTTTAATAGAATAAAACTCATAATTTACAAAATATTCACAAATAATGAAACTTGATAGAATACAATTCCTAGTTCATTGTACAAAATTTTTACAATTAGTGAACTACAAAGATATTGGAAATTTGAATTGAGACATGAATATTAAAAATAACTCAATAGATATTAAAAAAAACAGAAATAGTGAACTCCAAAAATAATGAAATTTAATAGAATGAAACTCTTAGCTCAACAATTTTGCACAAACAGTAAACTTTAATATAATGAAATTCCTAATTCTATGTCTAAAATTTTCATAAACAGTGAACTATAAAACTATTAAAAATTTGAATTGAAAAATATATATTTAAAACAGTGAACTTAAAAAGTATATTTTTTTAAATTTTGTAAGAGGTCCACTGCTTAGAATGTATGCGTTGTTAAATCCAAACAGAAGGTCTTTTTTGTTGAAAAGGATAAGTCTATTGAAAAAGACGAATTTGCCATTAATGATAACATTTTCAAAGCAGATTTCTTTTTTTGCTCTTCACCGTCTATTTTATTACTTTTTCACTAATTCTGAGAGCTTTCTAATTTTATTCTCCCTCTATCTTTATCCATTAATTGTCTGTTGCTATCCTTTCTCCTTTATCTCTCTCTACCCACCTCCTTTGTTGCCAACCACCACCTGGTCCCCACTTTCGTTGCCAACCACCACCTACCACCCACCACAACCACCCACCATCATTGCCAGCCACCATCACCCACCACAACAACCGCCCACCATTGTTGCTAACCACTACGCACAACCGACTATCATAGCCAACGCCACCATCACCGCCACCTAAAACAGTGAAAACTTAGTGAATTCAAAAATATTAAAAATAAAAATAAAAATAGTAAACTATAATATAATAAAACTCTTAGTTTACAAAATTTTTATAAACAATAAACTTTAATATAATGAAATTCTCAGTTCACAACGTTTTCACAACAGTAAAATTTAATATAATGAACCTCTTAATTCACTGTCCAAAATTTTTACAAATAAAAATATTAAAAATTTGAATTAAAAAACATATATAAAAAATAACAAACTCAAAAATATTGAAAAAACATAAAAAATGAACTCAATAAATAGTGAACTTTAATAGAATAAAACTCTTAATCTATTATGAATTTAAATATAGTGAGCTAAAAAATAGTGAACTAAACATAGTGAACAACAACCATTATCGCCAACACCACCCATCTTCGCCACCACCACTACCACCACCACCCAAAACCCAACACCAAAAACAGTAAATAACTAGTGAACTAAAAAATATTGAAAAAACATAAATAGTAAACGCAAAAATAGTGAAGATTAATAGAATGAAATTCATAATTCACAAAATTTTCAAAAATAGTAAATTTTAATAGAATGAAACTCGTAATGTGAATTTAAACACAGTGAATTCAAAAATAGTGTACTAAACATACTGAACAATCACCAATACCACCGTCATTGTCACCACCGTCCACTGGCACCATCAATCATTGTCGTCAACACCACCACTCACCACCTAAAATAGTGAAAAATGAGTGAACTCAAAAATAGTGAAAAAAAACATAGACAGTGAACATCAATTTCATGAAACTCTTAGTCAACAAAATTTTTACAAATAGTGAATTTTAATAGAATAAAATTTCTTGTTCACTGTCCAAAAATTTTGCAAACTGTGAACTACAATAATATTAAAAATTTAAATTGATAACTATATATAAAAAATAGTGTAGTCATAAAATATTGAAAAAAAAATAAATAGTAAACTTTAATAAAATAAAACTTTTAATTGAAAATATTTTCACACACAAAGAATTTTAATAGAATTAAACTCCTAATTCGTTGTTCAAAAGTTTTAGAAATAGTGAACTACAAAAAAATTTACATATTTAAATTAATAAATTTATATAAAAAATAAAAATATATTGAAAAACACATAAACAGTGAACTCCAAAATTAGTGAACTTTAATAGAATGAATTGAAAAAAAAAAGGAAGAAAATGTTTGCTCATCTCTCACTGACTATGTTTGACTTTATTCTTCAAGACAGTAAAATTGGTCTTATAATTCAATTTCACTTTCATGAGACAATGAAATTTCTTTGAATTGAAAAATTTGCATAGAAAAGAGCGACCTTTTTTTGCTTAATATTTTGAGAAAGTGAAATATGCTAGAATAGTAAAATTGGATAGTGAAATAAATATTTTACTGTTTAATCTATTTTTACGGATCATTTTAATGGATAGATTTCGTAAGAATTCTGTAAGAATTTTGTATGTATGGTAACTCTCTCTTTCACTACTAGTGACTATTGCACAAAAAGTCAGATAGATTCTTAGCCCGCTTTGGCTTCTGCTAGTGGGGCAGCAAGACCATTTTTTTTTTTTTGGGTGGCAAGAACTCTAAGTCGATTTAGTTAGTTAGAAACATATCATAAAATATAATACAATTTAAATATCAAAAGATAAATAAAATGACTTTTGTTATTTGTGGCTGAGATCACTTTAAATTTTACTTTAAAGTTAATTTAACGACTAATATTAACACCTCATATTTAAAAGGAAAATGTCTTAAATGTATATTTGGAGTGACTTTTTATAAGTACTTCTACAAATTATTTCTTATAAGTACTTTAAAAAAAAAATTATTGTTTGGCACCGCCCCACCGCTCCACCACCATCACCCCCACCGTTCCACCACCCCTACCATCACCGTCACTACTACCATCACTATCGTCACCCTACCATACCCACCACCACCACCATCACCATCACCACTTCCATTGCCCCACTACCATCACCGCCCACCACCCCATTATTATCATTGTCTCACCACAACCACCACTTCCATCGCCCCACCACCACTGCCGCCGCACCCTTCCATCATCACCACCGCTACTGTCCCACACCATCACCCCTATCGCCCCCACTGCCCCACCACCATTCTTATGACTATCATAACTACCACCACCATCGCCAACCCACCACTGCCACCGCCACCCTCACTACCCCACCGCCACCACCATCGCCACCCACTACCAATTGCTATCATCGTCGTACATGGCCACCATCCACTACCATTGTGAGCTTATTCTTATATTTATTACCATGATCATCATCATCCCACTATCACCATCAGCACCCACCACCACCCATCGTCGTCCACCATTGACACCAGCCACTATCACCTACCCCCACCACACTTACCACCGCCGTCATTCGCCACCACCAATCACACTGTCGCCTAGAAGCATCCATCATTACCCATCACCACCGTTGTCACTACCATCATCGTCACTCAAAACTCACGACCACCATCACCATTGCCACCCACGACTGCTACCACCACGACAATCGTCGCCTTACCCACCACAACCTTCACCGTCTCCCACAATCACCACTATCGCCAACACCACTACTACCACTCACCTCTATTACAATTGATGCTTAATTTTTTTTATCTCTTATCTATGTTTGTGACTTAATTTTGGGTATGAATATAAATATGTTGACCATTTTTTTTAATAATTTCGTACCTTCAAGCACGGAGAATAACTAATAAGCCAATAAAGTACAAAAAAAGTGATGGGTAAAATATCTATCATGAGATAATGACCCTTTCTTTGCTTAATATTTTGAGACAGTATAATATGCTAGAATAGTAACATTAAAGAGTGAAATAAATACAATATTGTTTTGTACTGCCTATTTTGACTGAATATCTACCTCACTATTCTTTTACTAAGTTTTGACAGCCAAATATTTGGATGAAAGTTACAAAACAAAATGAATTACATTTTCAAAGAATAAATGTATGAAATGCAAAATTAAATGATTTATTTTTTTTTTTTAAAAAAAGAAAAGCATGGTGATCTTTATTTTGAACATATATTTCACTGTTTAATGACCAATGAACATTTAGTTCAATGATACTCTTTATCTTATAAAGATTTTGTTTTCTTGAGTTCAAGTCCCCTTTTCCTTTCCCCTTCCCCCTCCCCCTCCCCAAAAAAAAAACTATTTAATGTACTTTTACAATCTTATTGAACAGTAAAAATTTATTTTCTGTATAATTGAACAGTGAAATAAATACAATTTAACTAGGAAGGAAGGAATATAGAGATGTACAACATCTTCTATATACTATGAAGCACAGATACGAATACAGATACGGGATACAGATATGATACGATATAGATACGGTGATACGATAAAATATAAAAAAATAGAATACGAGTACGGTCAGGAAACGACTATAATAAAATNGTTCAATAATACTCTTTATCTTATAAAGATTTT